AAGCCCTTTGCAGAATCATTCCTTGCCATAAAGAATGGGGGACTAAATTAGGTATATCCTATATTTTTAGTTCGTAGATGTAAGGCCTTGCATTTGACCACATGAAAATGGATATCTGACTTTGCCCAGTTTACCAAGTGGTCTATGTCCCTCTACAAGCAACCTGTCCTAGTAATTTACTTGCCACCAATCTGTGTCATCACCTGCAAACTATCAGCAATAGACTTTACATTTTCTTCCAGTTCATTGGCAAAATACTGAATAGCATTGACCAGGAACAGATTCTCAGCCCTTCTAGTTGATTATTCCCCAATTACATTTTGCATCGTATCAGCTAGCTGGCATTTAATCCATTTAACACAGATCATATTGACTCACTGCTGTGCTAGCTTTTCATCATTAGAACGTTAAATGATAATAGGTTCTCTCCTCTGTCAGGCCTGGCGTACTCATTGAAAAACACTTCTCCTTGCATTCATTTCCTGCTTTTGATTCCCCAATGAAATCATACCTCCCACACAAGGTCTTGCCATCTTTTTCAAAGACACAGCTTTACAAGATCTCCCTTGGCTTCCCTTCTCCCTGCCTCTGTAGCTTCCAACAACCTCTCATTCTCCCCAATCCCATGACTCCTTGTCCGCTCTCTCCCCCAAACCCTTCCACTCACCTCAACACAATCCCCACCTAACTACTACTTTCCCTTCCATTTGCTGTCTTCTTGCCTAGCTTGCTCCCCTCAAAATCCAGGCATGCCCCAATCAACCCCATCAGCAAAGTGCCCTTCTTGACTTCAAATGCCTCTCCAGCCACTGCCCCCATCTCCTTTTTCCTCTAAATTCATTGAGAGTGCCCTTGACAACCACTGCTTCAAGTTCCTCTCCTCCAACTCCACCCTTGGTCTAGTTTCCACTTTTTCCACTCCACTGAAGCTATCTCACAATGGCATCTAACAACTTTCCCATAATTTACCCTCCTCCTCCTGGACCTACCATACACTCCCTCACAGCCTGGCCTCTCTTGGCTTTCAATCGCTGCTGGTTCTGGTCTGATGACTCCATATGGTGCATTCTTCTCCCATCCTCTCTTCCTCTTCCCCAGCAGGGGGATGTGTGCATATAGTTTTTAGTTCCACTTACTGCCAATGGGCACTTTACACCTCCATCTGTCTGACATAGGCATCAAATAGCACCCTCCTCTGTTCTGTCTGCAATGCATAAGACCAGGCAGCACACTTAAGATGTGGTGAGAGCAGGGCTAATGGGGTAAGATGTAAACTCTTGCCAGCATGTGCAAATCTTTCATGCTGTGGTTAAAATACATACCGTGACCCATTGCCAGGTCAAGGAGAAAAGGAAAGTAGGAGTGGAATGAATGAGATATGTAATTATAAATGGTGTAAGAGTGGATTCGTTTTCAATTCCCCCTCCACCCCCCAAAAAAATATTTCCAAACTTTGGAAATGGAGGCTGTAAAGCACTTTAGCAGCCAAGCACTGTTTTGTTTCTCAACCAGTTAAATTTACCTATGGCTTCTTCGAGCCCATACCGACCCCAGAGCCCAATTCTCTTACTTTAACTTTGGTTTAGGAGTGCTGAGGACACTGTCGTCATCTTCCATTTCAGGGCCACTGTCACTGGGGTTGTCTATATCCAATGTATCGTACAGAAGGTCCAAGTCTTCCTCCACTTCTGGCACATGTTCTGCTGGGTCCTGCTCTGAATCCAGAACCTAAGCACAAGACACGTGGATACAACCAGGTAGCACAAAAATGATTAGGGGACAGATCCATCCCAAGTCATCTCAGCACACACAGCAATTGCTGTACAATAGGCTGGTATTTCTGGTAGCCCCCAAAAGTCAGGCAAGTCTCAGAACACGTCACTGTGGGGTCACTCTGTGTGAGAGTTCCATTTATAGTTTATAAAGAGTTAATAGACGTTTATGCCTTTTACAGAAATGAGCTGTGCATATTATAGATGATTTATAAGCACATCAGTAAAAGGTGTTGTAGATGTTATAAGCAACCTATTCACCTATCAGACAAAGAATCTTTAACTAGTTATTAAAATATTTAATGATCATTTAACATCCCTTTTATAAATGGAACTTTAGAGTGTGAACCAATTATAAATATTCTACCAAAAGTACAAAAAGTACATAATATTCCATCTTATATTCTCCCTAGGTCACCTAACCTTGAAGGGACTCTCCAGCTCCTTCTGACTTATTTCATTGTATTATCTGCAAGCGATTAAAAGAATAAAAAATTATATCCAGATGGGATTTTCCTCATTAGCAAACTGAAGGTTAACAAGAATCTAGTAGAAAGTCCATAAACCAAAGCTTCCATCAGTTTCCTCGCATGTGAGAGACTGACAGGAACAAAATATCTGTAGTTAGAAAAGGATCTTGAGATGGGTGCAGTCTGGTGCCAATCCTAAAGCCAGCACTAGAGAGTGGTCTCTCCTGAACAGCAGCAGTGCAGCTGGCCCAGATCTCAGCTATTATACTATTCTTCAAAAAGAACAGGAGTACTTGTGGCACCTTAGAGACTAACAAATTTATTTGAGCATAAGCTTTCTTGGGCTACAGCCCACTTCATCAGATGCATAGAATGGAACACATATATATATATATATATATATATATATATACACACACACACACACACACACACACACACACACACACACACACACACACGCTCCCTCCACAATCATACTAAATAGAGAAATAGTATCCATAAACCTAATGCGACTGCAATATATTTCATATAAATTAGTTACTGGGAACTCATAAGAAATACACAATGAATTTATAATTATTCATTTTTTCCCCTTTGAGACCATATCTGATTGGCAAATCTGTAAGGACTGAAATAATTACTTCCTCAAAGAATTAAAATATATATTGAATTCATTTCAGGGTGGAGCTGGTTTTCTTGCTGGCTGATTTTACCTAAGCTGTAAGACCTCACATTAATGGCAAAATTCTGACAGGATGTCGTTGCCAGCCTTGTGACTGTTTAACTCATACAACCCCACCAAACTCTTTGAGAGACCTCAAAATGAGCATGTGTTCTTTGCATCTGATGCAAATGCAAGAAAAGCCCACCATCAGGGGACTCCTTCTTCAAGTGCACTCACTTTGTTCGCTGATCCAGAGCCAAAGTGGAAACAAGGTGCTATACAGACCACCCAATCTTCCCCCTGACTTTCTGTCAGAGCTCAGGGATTGTGTGACTTCAACAGCCACTTGAATGACTTAATTCACACACAGGATGTTTCAAACTTATCCTGCTATATCCTCCACTTCCTGGAGTTTGCCTTTTTTCTAACTTAAAACCAATGCAAGTATAAACCTCAGCACAATCTTCTTCTTGAGTTTGGTTGTTTCCTGGCTCTCTCCATGCAGGAGCCCTCTATCCCTGCAAATACCTCAGAGGAAGGTAACCTTTTTAAACTCCTGGATTGGAGCTATATTGCTCGTGTCGGTGCACGTACATAAATATTAAACTTAATACATAAACCACTATCAGAAGCTGTACATTTTAATAAGTGGGTGGTTTAAAATGAACTTAAAATAGATTATACTGATACGGTGTGTGTACACACACAGACACACAGTATTTCATAAAGGCATAAAACAGGTTTTGTTGCCAAACCTCCCCCCCGTTTTTTCCCCTTCTACAAGTTCTTCTCTACTTTAATACAATAAACTGAATTATCTCATATACCTTTTTATCTTGCAGATCCCAACAATATTTGGCAGGCCTGGAACGTCATGTTGAGGTTGCAGGCTGAAACCCGAGATGCAGCTGCTGTGCGAGTCAAAGTCTGGAAAGAAAAAATGAAAAACTGTATGAGGATTTCAACAAACTCCAGTTACTGCACAGTAAGTGCAGTACTCTAATCTCCCCTTATTTGCCACTATTTTAAGCTCTATGACATTGCATAGGAAAACAGAGCAATTTGGCTGACCCATACATAATAGAAAGATGGTTATCAGTATGTGTTGGCTAAACCTAGTCAAGTAAACTGTCTTCTTCTGGCTCTATCAGAGAATTGCTTGCTTATTACCTTATAAGGTAATAATTTCTAAGCAAAATCTTTCAAGAAGTTGAAATGGAAAGCATATGCTTTGGGGACGAAATTGCAGAATTGAAAATCAGAACTTACAATCTTTAACTATGGAGTGATTACCGCCAGTCCATAATTAAAGAATGGGATGCTTGTGGATTATTATGCCATAGAACAGGGGAAGCAGTAAAATGGTAGACAAAAGTAATCAATGTCTTCAGACCCACCTCAAAGAAGGAAGAACACATATTTACACATGTTATCTCGCTCTCTCCTCCCCAGTTCTATGATGAAGTATTTTAGGGCTCTATCCTAATTTTATTCACGATTACAATCGATTGAGCATTAGTTAGAGCTGGTCAGAAAATTTCTGATTTCTCCATCTGAAAAATGAGAGTTTGTTGAAAAACATTTCATGGAAACATGTCAATTTAGAAGAAATTGGGGGGGGGGGGACCAAATTGAGTGAAGGTTTGAAATGTTCTGATTAGACTTTTTCAATATTTAAAGTTGCCATTCCAAAACAATTTTTTCATTTCACATTTTTAAAATTTTATAAAAATGTCAAAGGTAAAAATGTAACAAAATGTTTCAATCAACAACAACAACAAAAAGTATTTTTCTGAATTTCATTTTGTGGGAAATTCCATTATTTTTTGTTTTCATTCCACACTGTTATTGCAGAATTTCTCAGGAAATCAGTTCTCACCCAGGTCTACAATTAATGTAGTAATGTGACTATTAAAGGAAAGCAAGACATTTGTATTTTTTAATGCAAAATCATAATGTGAAATATTTTATGTCTCTTTTAGCATAACATATGTTATATATATTTTAATAGGGTGGGTGTGAATGCTATTGTTGAAGTTGCTATGAGTCACCATTATAAGCCCTGTTTTCTCTCTTTCTCTCTCTCTCTCACACACACACACACACACACACTTTAAAATGGAGATATAAATGTTCTCCCTTTGCTGACAAAACACCATTTGTGTTTCCAAGGAGTAAACGAGAGTCTGGAATAAGGAGTTGCTGATTAACTTTTGAAGACTCATTAGATAATTTTGGCTCAAATGCTACTCTGACTATCCCTCTGAAAAAGTAAGCTAGGTTCAGAAATAGATAGATACTAAGAGAAGAATTCATTTGTATACTAGAGCTCAGACTAGGTTAATTTTTGACTCTACAAGAAGTGGGCTGGGTGGGGACACTACCGGCCTACTGGTGTGAGAGAAATGCTAAAACAAATACATTTTTCCTCAATATTATATTTAGTATATTGCTAGTACAGCACAGTGTTCAATTTGTACAAATTAAGATGTGGGTAATTATGGGGTATGGTTGGCTGAAATTTTTCTTTATTTTTTTATCCAGTGGAAAATGGCGATTTTGTCAAAATGTTGTTATTTTGAGAAGATTTATAAATTAGAAGTAGAGCTAGTAGGAAAAAACAAATAGTATTTCTGTCCAATGGGAAATTCCATATTTAGAAATTTGTTTTTGTCCCAAGTTATAATTAAAAGTCAAAATATCAAAATTTCTCAGAGTTCTGACATGAAATTTTTCAGAAATGTCAAAACATTTTGTTGTGGCTCATGCTTCATGCCCCTATTCTCCACCATGCGCCAGATTCGGTGGATGGTCTACATCTCTCATGGATCTTTCTTCTGGTCAAACCATGAGGGTGCATTATTGGAAACATAGTCCAACTGGGAGCCCTATCCATACAAGAGAATGAGGACATGAGGCACCTGAACTGCAACTGCCATGAGATACTACAGCAGCTCAGGCAGACACAGATTAATATACTGACCAAAACCAAAACATTTTGATTTGGTTCTACAAACATAAATATTTCATTTCAGGTGGAGTCAACCTGAATTAAAACATCACATTTTATTTTCCCACTGGGAAAAAAAAATCAAACTATTTTGGTAAAACTGAATTTTCCCAAATTTTCAATTTTGCAGAAACTGTTTTTTCATTGAAAAACCATTTTGATGGAAAATTCCCAGCCAGATGTAGTCATAAATAATGTTATGAGCCTCAGAACTACTGGACAGGGATAACTGAGCAGCATTCAGAGAAGGGGTAAACTAAATCAGAAGTGTAAGTCACTAAATCTTTCAGGAGCCCCTTTCAGCAGATCCAGTGGAGAGAAAAGTCTCCAAAATTGCAAATGAAAGAAAATAAAAGGGACTAACATACCTTTCAAACAACAAAAGTACTAAATTACATCCAAAGAAGAATGAAATTCCAGAAGTTGGCCGAAATATAAGAGAGATCTCAAACAAAATGCAATTGAAGGAGTTTGGACATTTCTAAGTGGGGAACAGGACTGTAATATGTACCCTGAATTCAGATTTGCCCCCAAATACAGAATGTAAACAAATAATGCCTTGTAAATTTATAAAGGTAAGAGAAAAAAAATCAGGAAGCAGCATGACCCTCCTCCTACTCACACTGATCTATATCAGGACTGCAAAATACTGATAGACTACATATAAGGGGCAGTAGCATCCCCCAGAAGCTTACTGTGCAGTTGCTAGGAAAATACAACTGTGCACTATGCTTAATGAGGTTCTACTCCACCTGCTGCTCTATATGCACCTCTCTTCTAATTTAGGCATGAGAGGGAAATGTTAGGCCCTCCTCCTGTCTCAAAAACTATGATGGGTTAATGTAGTGGCAGGGCTTTAGTTGGCATCTTCCAAAATATATTAGAGATATGCCTACTTAGCAGTCCCAGAAGACCATGGAGAGAGAACTATCCAGCAGGTAGCTCAGTCCAGTAAACCCCTCCACCACCCCCACACCTTTTAAAAGTAATGATGATAACAATGGGGTTCTTGAACTTTAATTACTGTTTGAGAGCCTAATTCTGAGTGAGTTCAGGGTACTAGTCACATCTTTTCACACAGTTTTAGACACTGTTCCCAGTAGAAAGAACACTTCTACTGCTGTCATCTCTGAATTCAGTAGCATCAACCTTCTTCCTCTTATCCTGGGAAGTTCCAACGTTTGGTACTGAATGATCATATTAGAACGGCATATTAGTTATCTTTTAATTGGTATTCAGAACTGAAAACCAAAGTCAAATAAGAACAGAGATTGCTCACAATAATGTTTATATTACTGCAGAGATAAATCTGTTGTCACTGAACCTACACCCATTTGGAGACCACTACATGACTGCCAACCACCTGGTTCAGAAATGTGCTGTCCTATGGCACAGCTATTCATTCTGAACCAAAGGTACTGTAGTCAACATTTTCTGAGTTTGAAAAACCAGTTCATAAATATTCATTTAACAAATGTAAATAGCAATATTCTATTATAAATTATACTCTATAATCATGTATTCTTTCAGTGGCAAGGGAAAAAATTGTGCAGTGCCAAGAATTCAGGATAGTTTTAAAGATTAAGCATCCCTAATAGTTATTATTAGACCTAATAGTGATTATCCCCAATGGTTTTATTACTACTACTTTCAGAAAGTAACTGAGGAAAGTAGTAAGGAGAAAGAAGAGAGGACAAGGAAAAAACATAGCTCTTTTACAAGCAAATGCATAGAATTCACATAAGCAATGGAGAAGGGTTTTTTGACTTAGTGTTAAGCAGTACCCCAGTTCAAAAAGATAATTATGGTGAGCCACAAAGTACTAGTGAACACAATAAAATTAGAGTTCAAGATCCTTCTTGGAGAAATAAGAAGCTGTCACTATGACACTACACTGCAGAAATGGCAACAATAAAAGATACATAAAAGGAAGCTAATAAAAAAAAACACATCAAGAAGTAAGGAAATTAAATTCACTAGTCTCCGAAATAAGACTACGTAAGAACAGTGGGCAAAATCCTATCCCTACTGAAGTCAATGACAAAACTTTCATTTGCTTAAGTGGGGCCAGAATTTCACCCAGTAAGCCACAAAGGGCTCACAGTGGAAGACGATTTTGATAGGTTCACACTGTAAATAGACATCATGATCAAATATTTGTAGACTATTTTGGTGGGGCAGGGGGTTGGTGATAAGAAGGGAACTTTTCTCTTTTAAGTGACTAAACACACTGCCCAAGTGTGTCTCATTAGAGGGACAGAAACACAGATCACACACTTGGGCAGGTTACATGACTATCAGTTTAACAGCTATTAGCAATCCAGCCATAACAATATACATTTTGGCTCCAGTAACAAGTGCTTGGTGATACATTTATTAAAATCTCCTCTTAAATCTCCTCTTACATATTTTGATGTCCTAAGAGTTTGCATGAGGACTCAAGATTTTTGTTACTTTTGCTTTTTTCTTCTTTTCTTTTGAATGTTCTGACACTCCCTGGGGTATCTGGGTTGTGAGGCACTTCACCATCACCCCACCCTTAATATGAGGAAGTCTTGTTGGTGCCTGCTGTGGATCAGCTCCCTAAATCTTGCACTGCATTGCAACACATGCACTGCCTTCCAGGTCTCTGCAGACCTCATTTTCTCTGTGCAGGTCAAAAATAGTCACACACCAACCCACCATGTCCTCTGACCATTCCTCATAGTGTCCAGTCCTTTACCCACTGAACACTCACAGAATTACCAGGCCTGCTGTTCCCAAAGGAACAGTACACCACAGCATATTAGTTATACCCTAGAACATAGCTCTGCTAAACACACAGCACTAAGATATATTTCTAGTGAAAACAAGAATAAGTTTATCATCCAAGAACAGATATTTAAGTGATAATGGGTAAAAATGTTGGAAACTAAAG